CAGACAGAACACAGGAATGCTTGAATACTTCTCACCAAAGGTTTAAAAAAATGGCACTGATGACTAGTCTGGAAGCTGGTTAAATAGAGGCCAAAGCAGGTGAAACAGATCAGCGGTAATGAGAACTGGGAGGAGCTAAGCAGGTGAGTGAAATTTGTGATCAGACCAGGCATCAGTGCCATGATCATGATAGCTCTGCTTCTGCCCTTAGTTCTACACTACCACTGCCCTGTCAAAAAAATTACAAAAAGTGATCAGAGCCAGGAATAGGGCTTTGGTGCCTCACTAACTTTTAAAAGTGCAAGAAGCAGAACGGCACAGCTGAGTTCGAACATCTACTAAACAATCAACCTGAGGCTCTCAGGTAGTTTGGATTTCGTAACTTATGTTTACTGAATACAACAGGACCAAGATACAATTATAAATACAAATCTGAAATAGTCAATACAATCTATTTGGATCCATTTGCACACAGCTAGCTCCAAATTAATAGTATTAGCAGCACAATTAATTATTTTAAATGCATCGAAAGTCAAGATAACAGATTCATGAAGTTCAACACAATATAATACATTTCATTAAAGTATATTACATAACTTTGATCTGTAATTCAGATATACACATTTAGAGTACATTTTACAGGGAAAAGCAGCATAACTAGTTAAAAATGCTAATAGATAGAGACCTCCAATATGTAAGCCCCTCATGTTTCATTTAAAGGCTAGTTTGGACAGTCAGTTAACACTGCTTCATTCAGCTGAACCAGCTGTACAGGTGCCATGGCAAATAACAGCTAAGCTAACTTTATCACAGCTAGCAAAACACTCATCATATCTGCCATTTACACTTCTAACCTATATCCATTCAACACAGCTCTGACTGAAATCTTCTAGCAGCGTATGTTGATGTCACCAAGGATCTTAAACCTGTAAAGAACATGTTAGAACATGTTTTGGTTCTGTTTGATTTAATACTTCAGTGGATAATTTTTCTCGGACTTGAGCTTTCAGTCAAATTATTTTTCAACATTTTTATAATTTTTTTTTCATTATTTTAGTTTTAAACTCTCTCCATTTAATTCAACTCCTCTTTTATTCTTTATTCAGATTGGAACGCTGCAAGTTGTCAGAGATCAGCTGTGCTTCTCTGGGCTCAGCTCTGAAGTCCAACCCCTCCCATTTGACAGAACTGGATCTAAGTGAGAACAACCTGAAAGATGGTGGAGTGAAGCAGCTCAGTGGTTTTCTCCAATCTCCCCTCTCCAAACTACAGACATTGAGGTCAGTCAACATATAGTTTGGTGAGGATATTCCCGTTGTAACATTGTACTCGTACTCGTCTTCTCCCGCTTCATCCAGGGCACGGTCGTGTAGCAGGAAATACTCTCAGACTTCCCCCTCTACACACACCTCCTCCTAGTGGAAGTCTGAGGCGTTCCCAGGCTAGCAGAGAGACATAAGCAGCTTCTGAGTATGTGTACTTGTGCGTTCTCATGTGCTTGTGAAACATCATCAGCCTCAGCCCTAATACTGTTCCAATCCACAAGAATACAAGGCTGAGAATGGACAAAGTCCCTGGATGTTGATTTCACTCCTCATCAGAGCAGACTTGTCTGTTTTCAAGATTGACAGCTTTCCCAGCATGCATCACGGCAGCAGCAGCTTCTAGGTTAGCGCTCAAAGAGCTCAGAGTATTAAGATAAAAATTCTCTCTTCTGTTGTAATTGTTCTAAAAAAAATTTACGTTTTGAGATCATTTGAGGCAAGAACATTATACTTTTAAGCTCTACTATATTTCCCATTTACTGATTTAGGGCGTAATTTAAAAAAAAGTTCCAATGTCCATGGCAACCAGAGGACCTCCAAAGCTATCCGCACACAGGGCTAATGTCAGCTCGTCTGCAGCAGCCCTGTCTCTCACTGGCTCTGATGGCTTTTTTTTTTCTTGTTTTATTTGGCAAAATGCTCATTTGATTTGTGTTTATCTGACTATGTTAATTGTTATTCCTTCACTAGATGAAAAAGGTAGTCATTTATTATGTAGAGACTATTAA